GCCATTCAACAGCTCGTGGAAGCTTTTTCTGTCCAAAGATATGTGCAAAATCAATGACAAATGAGATTCTAAGCAAAATCAAATGTAAAATATACAAACCTTCAATTCTTTTTATCCTCCAATGTCTTGTCAATTCTTGACCTTAAATGTAATTGGTGAGGGAGAGAGGACATGACCCTCAGATAACCTTTCAGCAGCACCTCTTGGCTAGCTTGCTTGCGTGGAATGAATAGGCTTGCTGACTGGAGTACGCCTGCGTGTTTCAACGAGAACACCGAAAAAACCTAATTCAGCTCCACGTAAGATAGCCAAAGTACGATTGAGCAATCGATATGATATATTTGCTAACATTCCGGGTGCAAGAACTTCCAGCCCCTTCCTTCAAAATCAGTGTACTTATGTAACCTTTCTCTCAAGAAGGAATTATTCACAATCGAAGCCTAGAAAGCTCCATGCAGAATCGAATCATTAGACTCGAAACTGATGGAAGTATTTTTTTGCAATACACTCTTCATTATACATGTTTATGAAGATAGTCCTCACACTACCCAAAGTATACATACAAAAATATATCCATCATATAAATAGAATTTGTCTCCTCTAGAAAGAAAAAATATATAAAGTTTAAAAGTGAACATTTTTTTACTTTTAATTTAAAAGTTAGACAAATATAATAAATGTTTACATGTAAATTAGCAATGAATATATACTCGCTTTTTTTATTTTATACTGTATTTACTGGTAAACTAAAGAGCAAAACTCTAACTATCGAATTGTGTACCCAGACAGGGTGAATGTGTGATAAGAATATTCATAGCCTATGGACTTTTTTACATCTATATATATACTCGTAAAAAAAAAATTTAATGTGAGAGTTTTTTATTTATTTCTCATTTATCTACTCATCCCTTTTTTGTTTATTATCTCACTTTCATCTTCTTCTTGGTCAAATACTTTCTTATCAATTGAGCTACATCCTCGTCCATAAAATTTCGCCATGCCATAGAGAGTTGCTGTTGGACCAATTGCAAGCTACTTTTTGTTGAGAGATGATGATTCAAGCTGTGATTTTAGTCCTTTTTATTTGATTTATTATTAGGCTTTGTGTTAATAAAAAGAAAACGAAGCTTTTGTGTAGCTTAGTTCTTTAGTTTGCGAAGTACATGATTTTATTCTCTTGTTTATTTTTTTGTGCAATATTTTAATTCCCTAGCATCTGATATAGATGTTGTTAGGCAATTTTTCTTCTTCTATCTATTAACATTTGACAGAGAGAGATAGAGAACATAGCAGTACTATAGATTTGAATGACATAGGTTAGGATAGTAACATTGGTCTTGGAATTTAGAACCCAAATATGTTTATTAAGTTGGATTAAAATTTTCAAAATGAGCAAGTAAATTAAAAAAAAAAAACAGAATTTAGAGCTTACGTATCTGATTTAAAGTTGGTTTTATTTATGAAATATTTTAAATTTTTTATACTTTATACTTTTTTTTTACTTTAAAAAAATTAAATCTCATTAACTTAACTTCTAATTCATGATGAGTTTTATAGTTGAAAATACAAATTTTTAAATTGTTTTTTAAAATAATAAAATGTCTTAATTCAAAATATCGCTGAAAGAATTTTATTTCTTTTTATTTTATATATTTTTCACTTTACAAAAAGTTAAATATTATTATGTTAACATCTAAGTTCATGACGAGTTGATAATGCGATTTTTTTAAACTTATTCCATAAAATAATTCAGTTAAAATGATAATTTTAGTAAAAAAAAAAAGTGGCAGTATGTATTTTAAGAAAAGATATACTGAAACATGCACGGATAAAAAATATTTAAAATTTAGCAATAATCTGTAGTTCATTAATCATTTAGGTAAAATTTATATTTAATTTAAACTTTATTTTTTTATTTTAGTTCAATTTTTATTTTAATTCTCTAAATTTATTTTTTACTTTAGTTTTATCGAAGTTAGAGAAAAATTAGTTGAAGCTTCGTTTTACAAATTGAATTATGATGATAACAGGACACTTTTTCTTTCACTTTTGCATGGGGAGAGGTGTCATAATTGTGTGCAGCATACTTCAAATGTGTTGATGCAATTTTTCACTTATAAGAAAAATAAAGATATTAATAATTGATGTTTAAAGGTTTTGATGATGAGTTATTTATTGTTTAAATTAAGGTTAAAAATGTTTTTTTTTATATTTTTATATAATTTTAATTTTAGTTTTCAATTTCTTTTAAAAAAACTGGTCTGTAATTTTTAAAAATTAATGATTTTAATAATTAATAATGACTTAAAAATTGTAACGTGTCAACGTATTAATTATTTTTATTCCGTACTGTTGACAAAAATGTTAAACTATAAAAAATATATATAACTATAAAATAAAATAAAATATTTAAAAATGTAAGAATTAAAAAGATATTTGAAATTTAAATTAATTAATCTTTTACATAATTTAAAATTTAGAAAACGAAAATGTTTTCGATCGATTTTTAGTTAAAAATTCCTTAACTCTTGCTTACACAAACTATATGGATATGTATATATATATATATATATATATATATATATATATATATAATATCAAGCATACTTAAAAGGAATATTTGAGAATGAGGATATGAACAAATCACTTTATAGGATTGATTTTGAAATATGAATTGACATGTGCTACAAAGCCTATATGGCTATATACAGAATTTATATGAATATTCGTCACTTTCATTTTCGTTATCATTTTATAATAAATACTGAAATTAATATTTTTAATAAAATCTAATATTAATTAAAATGATCAACATTTACAATTAAAAAAATATAATGAGAATTTATTCTAATACTAATATACCTCTATGGCTTGATGCTGTTCAAATTCCTTCCATATATACACCTTGCAGAATGGAAGGGTTGGTATGTATTTCCATTCTTTAGGCTCAAATTAATAAAAAAAATTAATTAAATAGTATTTAATAAATTATTTTTATAGAAAAATTTATTATATAAACATAAAATTTATTAGAATAAGTTGTAAATTCAATTTTTTAAATATTATATATAAAATAATAATAATGAATTTTAAATTTAAATTTAAAATATTATTAATGATTAATATTCCTTTTTTTATAAAAATAATTTAAAAATTATGTGATGAATAATAATTTTAAAAATATTGAATCTTATTAGTTAGTATTTGAAAGATACTAGTTAAAAATAACAAATAATTATTTTTTACAACATTGAAAATTGTAATGAAAGTGTTAATTTTTAGTGTTTTTATTTAAGTGTAAGAACATCGATTAATATTTATAAAAATATAATCTTTAAATTATTATAATTTTTCTCTTATAAAATGTGTATTTATTTTTAAAAATAAATTCATCATCTTTTAAAAACAGACTTTATATATTAATTATTAGGAGAATATAGTAAAGCTCATACTAAAAGGCTTGTACAGGACTTGTTCAGAAAATACAAAATGCTGTAAGAAAAGACATGCAGCTCAATATATCAAAGAAAGAAAATGAAGAAAAAAAAGGACAGAAAAAAGGAAAAAAACTAAAAGAAAGAAAGAAAAAATCCTCAATAAAGAAGACCCGAACATAAAGTAAAGTTAAAGATTAAAGGTAAGTTGTAGGCCCATTTGAACTTAAAGAAGAAATGTTGAAAATTTTAAAAAATCTCACATTAATTGAAAAAAATATAAATAAAAGAATGCAGCTTTTTATGAGGAAAATCTTTAATGAGACTTGAGAGGTATATTGCTTGTGATCAGCAAAAAATATATTCAATTTTTTATAATGTATAAAATGAAGTTAAACAATGAAGATTTGGAATGTTAGTGTGAATTCCTTGAGTGTTGTGAAAAAATAAAACTTATATTGTGAGATTGGGTGAATAGCATATCCACTTGTTGAGATATGCTTTCTTCCATTCAAAATAATTTTGGTGTCATGTAATGCCCGATGCAGTGCCGAAAGCATTTTTGTTCTGCACCAGTGTAATTGACCATAAAGTAGATTCCTGACCAAGAGAAAAGTATGAAATATATATTCTTATATTCTCAATTGATTGAAAAAGGAATAAAAGACAAATGTTTAGATTCTTGGATGTTCTTCTGCATTAATGATATGTCTTTCATTGCTATCCAGACTCTGGTTTTTGTTCATATTGTATAGCCTCTTCAACTAAGCAAAGGGGAAAATGGTTGTTGGATAAGAAATGGAGATACTGTTTTAGGCATTACAATGTGTGAAAGGCTCACTTATTTGTGGCTGTGGCCTGTGGGGTTTGCAAGTTGCAACCCAATTTACAATACTGAGAGTGAGAGAAAGAAATCCCACATACCTTTCCACTGGGACCGCCCCAGCCTTATTTCTTTAATATATTCATTCTTTTCTATTCAACACAATTAATAATTAAATTACCCCTAAGTTCTAAATAACTCAAACCCCCAAATAAAATTTAAAAATGAAAAAATAATCAGTTTTTATAAAGAAATATTCATTATTATAATAATTATTATATATTTTTTAATTTGCTTCTGGGAGCAACTTTAGTTTTGACTTTGCTGAAGAAACAGTTGCACAAGGAACAGTAGCTTGGCTGCATGTATGCCAATCTTTTCCAAATTTCTAGACAAACAAGCCGTTAAACACCTACACAAAGATGGTTTGGGATACTTGTAATTAACTTTAAGAATTAATGTTATTACTTTCATAATTACAATAATAATAGTCTTATTAACAAATATATTGATGATATATTACAAATTATACTAAAAGTATATAAATAATATTTTTAATTATTTAATAATATCATTAAAATATTAATTAATAAAATAAAAATAAAATTCATTAATAAATATTATTAATAAAATTTCTTTAATAATTTTTAGTTCCTTTTAATGTAATTTTTTATTAAAAATTATTTTTAATTTCGTAATAATAATAATAATAGAATATCTTTTTTCTCAATGATTAGCATGGAAGCACTTCTCAAATGACAAAATCAACTTCTCCATTCACGTTCCCTTCATTTTTGACTCCTCCATAACTCATTCATTCCGTCTTTCCCTTCTCTCCCTTTCTCCTTGGACTCCACCAAAAACTCACAACTCTCTCTCTCTCTTTCAGGTTCTTCTTGTTCTTTTCTTTGCCCAGTTTTGCTTAAAATTTTGTTTTTGATGCTCTGGGAAGGGTTGATTTTGAAATTCAGTGATACCCATTTGCTTTGGACTTTTGCTGGTTGCTTGCGTTCTTACTAATCCTGTTTTGGAAATTTATTATGAGCAAAGAGGAAGAATTGGTCTACTGAGGACTTGGGTTTGTACTTGTGAGAAACCAAGTTAGTGAATAGTTTAGAAATCCTTGAATGTTGTTTTTTGTGCTTTGTAGGCATGAATTTGTTTCTCCCACTTTGTGGTTTTGAGTTTTTTCAGTGAGAAGAATCCAACTTTACACTCACCGATGCATAGTGGGAGGGTACTTTCCATGTAGGAATTTGTCCATTTTGCATAATTCTGAAAAACTATGAAGCTTGATCACTGTTGTGAACCACTGTATGATCAATTTTATCTCTCTCTTTCTTGCATTATGTTTGGATTTACATTCCTCAAAACTTTTGATGTGATGTACTTGATGTAATAACTTGTTATAGATTCTACCTTCTTCAATCAATTGCTTGGTGCTGCTGCTGCTGCTCTTTATCTATTTATGATTCTGGGTATCTTTTGTTTCTCTATGCAAAATGGCTTGTCAAGTACTGATTGGCACGGCTTGTGTGGGATTTGACTGAAATATAGGTTGTGAGGATGTCGACTCCTTCAAGGAAGAGACTCATGAGAGATTTTAAAAGGTTGCAACAAGATCCTCCTGCCGGCATCAGTGGAGCTCCTCAAGATAATAACATTATGCTTTGGAATGCAGTTATATTTGGGTATGTAATATGTTAGTAAACTAAATAATTTACAAATCTTGAGATTTTTTTTTTTCTTTTCTGAATTGTGTTCTCTTTTTTGGTTTTGGTTTATGGATTAATTATGTTTTTTTCTTGTTGTTTTCAAGACCGGATGACACCCCTTGGGATGGAGGTACAATTATATCTTTTGCCCCATTTTAACTCAAAAAACTTCATGTATTGTTTCAATTTTCACATAATAAAGATTTTTCTGCTTGTCCTAAGATAACATTTTGTTTCTGTTGTCTTCCCTTCTTTAACACTCAATAGCATGGGATTTTAATGATTAAACTTTTGTATGATGCTGACATTTTGTTCCATTTTTTCTGGTTGGGCCTTAATTTTGGACAAATTAATTAAATATAATTAATGTTGTTGTGCAATCCTTTTCAAAATGGCCTTTAGCATTTTAAACTGCATCATATAACTGCGATTTCCTGCTGCACATTTAACAGAGTTTTTAATTTATAATTAACTCCTAGTACATAACATCTTTCTATCAGCCATTGATATGATAGCACAATTTTGATCCCTAATATGGTCATAAACACAGATTTATTTGTCTGTTGTATAAGGTAATGCATACATCCTTAAGATATTATTAATTATGCCAGTCACTATGACAAAATAGTTTTCTTTCACTAAAATTCTCTTGTTAAAGGAGATAGAGCATAGATGTGAATTTATTAAACATTTAGGTGAGATATTAAGAAATAAGGGTACTCTTTTTCATAATTAATGCTTTCTTAATTTTATAAAGTGAGTAATATTTTGAAACAAGCTAAAACTCCCACAGTGAATAATAATTTCAAATGGAGTGAGTGTTGATTGCTGTAATATTCAACGAAATAATTATTTTTAACATGCTGAGACCTAAGTGCTAGAAATCTTCAAGAATGTGAAGAACATCTTTATTGTGTGTCCAAATCTGTCATCCAATCTAGAAGTGTTGATTTTCATTCATGCAGACATTTGTTCAACATATAGTTGTGTTAAATGTGTTGATATTGAATGTGTCCTATTCAAAACTGTACCGTTCTTTAGGTGATTGATTTTGTTATGTAATAGATTCTTCAAGTGATGGTGAGGATATCTATTTACACCTGGTTACTTTGTTTTCTAATTTCAGTAGGTTTACCTGATCTAATTTCCGTTTTGGTCAGGCACATTCAAGCTAACACTTCAGTTCACTGAGGATTATCCTAATAAACCACCTACAGTGCGCTTTGTGTCTCAAATGTTTCATCCAAACAGTAAGTTGGAAACTAGAACATACCTTTTGCCTCTCTTTCTGAGCCAGGTTTAGTAACCTCCAATCACATAATGAAATTGCAATGTCAATCACTTAAAACTATTTGTATATTTAGTACGCAAGGGTGACATCATGTTCAGACAGACAACTTCAAACAGAACTGAAAATCATTATTTAAGTCTACCACATATAATATGTACATAAGATCATAATTTATTTATATTTTCTATGCCAAAAATTAATTTTAAATATTTAATAAATCCATTTTCTATTAAATGCATGCTAAACTTTATCTGAAAACTTGAATGATTGAGGACGGAGTGATCATTCTCTATGTATGTCTCTGTTTTTCTCCATGGCAAGCTGGTTTTGGAAATTTTATAATGAAAGCAGAGTTCCTGAAATTTCTCTTATTTTTGTCTCCTAGCTTCTGTCCCATGATGCTGTGCTGATGACAAATATTTTTGGAGAATTTCAAAATGAACTTATGTGAAAATATTTACCATGAAAGAAGAATAACCACTTGAAATAGTTATTATCTATAATATGTTAGCTTAAATTGCCTTACATAATCATTCTGAGTGGTTGTGTTTGTTCGTGGTAAATATTAGTTTGATTGTTTGAATTCTTCCTAAAAATTTCTTTAAATGGATCAGCGAATCTGTATGGAAATAAGTTCTGTTTGTTTAGCAATTTTCAGTTCTCAGCCCCATTTTCCTCGGCAATTTCAGTTTATGCAGATGGAAGCATATGTTTAGACATTTTACAAAACCAGTGGAGCCCAATTTATGATGTAGCTGCAATACTTACCTCAATTCAGGTAATAGTGACTCTATATTTTAGATTTGCTTTAAGACTATTAATGTTGAAATTGATATAATTTTCTCCCATCCACAATTTTGTCTACCTTACTTTTGATAGCAATGTTTTCCCTGAGTCATTGTTTTGTATGCTTGTGAAATTAGAAATCTTGTATAGTCATGTACAAGTGTTGGAGTATCTGTCAAATTTAGTATTGCAGTCATTTATCCTGTCCATTTCATCTTTTTCTTCAAGCAGTTAAACATCTGACTAGTGCTACAACTTTCAATAATAAACCAACTGCATTATAATTTCATATTTTTTAAAAGGAAAAAACTATTGCATTTGGTTTCTAGAAAACAAATCTTGTAAACAGGAAAAACACTTGACAAAAGAGTAAACATCTTGATAGAATATTATGTGTTGGTTTTGCCTTAATTTGGATTTCTCCTGTTTACATGAAATTGGCTTTCTTGTTGCAGTCATTGCTGTGTGACCCTAACCCAAATTCCCCAGCAAATTCAGAAGCTGCTCGGATGTTTAGCGAAAACAAGCGTGAATACAACAGAAGAGTACGTGAGATTGTTGAACAGAGTTGGACTGCTGATTAATCATCTCGGGGCATCTATTGCAGTTAAAGGGCTGTGAAAAGGATCCAATTCAATAAGTACTTAAAAGAACAATTGTGTGTTGTAGCCCCTTGACACTATGTTTGTTCAACTTTTTATGAATGGATGTTATGCTTTATAATCTCCATGTTGTGCAGAATCGTGTTCTGTTTCGCACCTTTATCATTTTGTTTCATCATTATAACATAGGATAATTTTGTTAACAGACTATGTTGGACCTACGATCTATTATCCCTAGAAAGGATGACAGGAGGGGAACAAGGGATTGATTGGTACTTAAATAGTAGTAGTAGTAGTGAAAAATGGAGGCCTACTTTAGGAAATTATATATTTACAATACCATTTATTCTTTATGATTAAATAACGTATGAACTGTGAACAAACAATTTGATGGACAGCAAGTTTACAATTTTATAATGAGGTTTGCATTGCTAGTCCTTGCCTCTTGAACTTGAATTGAGTACTGCAAATTCCAGAGAATATCTTCTATTGAAGGGCGATTACTGGAAACCTTGCTCAGACAACTGATGGTGATCTGAACTGCAGTCCTCAATGATTCATATACGTAGGTTCCCCGGAGGCAAGGATCAGATGGGTCTCTTGGTGATGCACCCTTTAGCAATGGCGATGCAGCTGCTGATAAACCTCTCTCCAGCTGAACATGATAAAGAGGAAATTAGAGATAGAAAAATCAAATCCAGTAATACAAGCTTGGGGATCTTCAATGGTTTAAATAGATAATTATGTAAGACTAGTCAAATCTTATGATTTTTGAGAATTTAATCTGAACGTATTTAACTAAGAATTTAATTTAATGCATACCTCATCCTTCAGCTCCTCCACTTCACTGGTAGATGTGATCAGTTTGCCAGTGATTAGTTCAAGTAGAATAACACCAAACTGATAGATGTCTTCTTTTTCTGCATTATTGGTGCTGCATATGGGAATAACATGTTATCTGTGATAGATTTCTGCATACTTTGGATGCATCTGTGAAAGAGAAGTGAAGAAAGATATATAGATTAAGAAGAGAAATACCAGCCACTTTGATTCGGGGATCTGTGTTCATTGAGTTTGCTGTGACGACCTTTCTAAAATTTGACAATGGCAGATTTCATTGAGGTTAACAGAGTGTGAAGTGCTGTACTTAATGCAAACATTACTGAGAGAACCGGTCAAATTAAATGTATACAAGAAAGGCTTTACTTACTTTAAGAACAAGTCTTGAATAATTTATTCTGTTTAATAAATATTTTCAAATATTTCATTAATTCAACTGTTGAATTAAAAGTTTACATACAGTAGATTAAACTCACAAAATTTTATGTAATTAAAAAATTCTTTGATTTTTATCAACCGATTTTTAGTGTACAATATGCTTTTTAAAATATAAGCAAATGTCAACAATATATCCATATCTATAAATGTTTAATTTTTTTGAAATTTGCTATATAAAATTAGTAAAATAATATCATATGACTTAAGGGTTGTATTGGTGAAATTCAATGTCTAATAAAGATATTAAATAGAATCAGCATGTAAAACTTGCTTTAGGAGTAAGTGAATCCCTTTCGTATGCATATATATTCTGTTCTAACCTTGGATGGCAATGGGATGCTGTATCCACTAACTTTTGCATTGAGGCTATCATCCAAAAGAATATTCTCAATCTTTATGTTGTTGCCAAATATGCCAGGTTTGACTCCAGAGTGTAAGAACTGGATTCCTCTTGCAATGCCTCTGCCGATTGCCATTCTTTGTGACCATTTCAGCATTTCCCTTTTTCTCCTATCTGTTAAATGAAATTTCATGTTACATTTTTTCGTCATTTTCAAGTGTTTGCCTTTGCAGTTAATTCTGTGTGAATGTTTACCTGTGAGATAATCCCTCAATGTCACGTTTGAGACATGTTCAAATACTATGAATATTGTGCTTGTTGTTTGGGGACGGTCTTGATAAGTAATGGAACATTGTCCTAGAACACTCACCAAATGCCTGTGCCTTAAATAGGGTAATACATTCAAGTTCTGAATATTGTTTTTGTGCAAATTCTTGTGCTTTAGTCTTACACGATTAACCATGATCATTGAACCATCTATGTGCCAACCTTTATATAGCTGTGTAAATACAAGAGTAAATGCCATTACCACTTGATCGTTTGGGTTCCATCTCATTGTAGATAACCCACTATCACTATGAAACTAATAAACACGTAAGACAGAAAATTCTTTTACCTGACCCTGTGATCCTTCTGCTATTAGATTTGATGGGTCAAAGTTGTTTGTGGCATCTTCAATTTCTTCTAATGTGAAAGTGCAGTATGGTGGGAATCCAAGTGCAGGTTGCCTCATTGGCAGAGAAACGCGTCCTATTTCCTCAGGGAAAAATATATGAATATCAAGGAACATGTAAACCAAATTAATGCATGAGTTGAATAAAGGAGTAAGAATATTAACTAACATGTCAAGAACCACAAGAGGGACAAAAACTAGGATCTAAATTTGACATGTCCACGATTTACCATACCATCATACAACAACAATCCAGTCTATTATATTTTATCAAATCATTATATTACAAAATATATATAAATTGCATTCCCCTCTCCTTAAAAATGCTTATAGCACTTCCTTTTTTCAATTTTAAAAATTATACCCTCTCTTCTGATAGATGAAGTGTGCTACATCTTAGTCTATTTGAATGAACGAATCTTGGTAAACAACTATAAACGATCCTCCAAACACTTTTTCCTTATAACAATATTCAGTATCGATGACAAATAATTTTGACCACATAAATATTGATTTTAGAAGTTTAGAAGAGATGAATTTTTAAACACCCATGTTATCAACTTTAAAACTTCTTATATATTCTAAAGTCCCAAAGTTAAAAGTAGAAATTCAAAACTACCTATGAATAATGTCAAGAATCCCGTGGGGGAAAAAATGTCCCTAATAGGTTCACAAATGTTAACAATATATTTTCTAATACTCTTTTTCAAGTATATATTTTATTATGAGTTAAAATTTATCAAAATCAACAAAAATAATGAGTCTCATTCTTAATTTAATTAATCTTATTTATATTCTTATAATTTCCTTTAAATTACAACAAATAATTGAGAAAGTGTTCAAAAAAGTATTTTAAATACATACTAATTTCTCGAGAAAGGGGGGGGGGGTGTTGTGGAATTCAGTGTAATTTAAGCATCTCTTAATAAAGAGAAGTGCAATTTCTCAAAAAAGAACAAACAAACAAACAATTATGTCCTTACTTGCATTAATATTTGGTTTTGGATAAGCCCGGACAGAGAATTTATCATCAAAAGAGTTGTCTATGTTCCTATCTTCTTTTTCTGCTTTGGACCTTCTGAAGAACCAGAGAATGAGTAGTACAAGAAGCCCGACAATTCCTACAACACCTCCAATAATACCAAGCATTAGGCCTAGTTGCATTTCTGACTCCTTCTTCTGGCTTTTAACTGGTGGCTTAACGGCTAAGGCCTCCACTTTCTGGCAATATGAAGATGGATATTGATCATTTAAGCTTCTAGTTGACAAAGATAAACAATTCCCAGAATAATGTGCTGTTCTATTTGAAGACTTTGAACCGATACAGGATGGCAATTTTCCCACCAAGAGGTTGTGTGAGATATCAACAAATGTTAGAGAAGAACTACATGATACATTCACAGAAAGGGAACCACTTAGTTGGTTATCACCTAAATTTAGGTACTCGAGGAAAGGAAGAGAGAAAACAAAAGATGGGATGTTTCCAAATACTTCATTGGAAGAAATGTCAAATAGCTTAAGTTTATAAGAATGCGTGAGTTGAGGAGGAATTTGACATCTTATGGAGTTATTTCTCAAGATAATCCTCTCAAGATTTTTGCTCAGTGAAGGGAATTCAGGACCCAAGTTGTTGCCACCCAAGTTGAGTTCTTCAAGATAAGCAAGCCCTCTAAGATCAGGCACACTCCCATTGAGTAGATTTTCAGCCAAAACAACACTCCTTAGACTTTTCAGTGAGGATATTGATGGTGGGATTTGCCCATAAATGAAGTTTGAGCTAATGTTCAACACTTCAAGAGACCACAATCTATCAATCTTGGATGGTAAAGGACCCCACAAACCAAGTGACACCAATGACAACACCTTCAAGTTTGAGAGCTTTGTCAAGACTGTAAAGAAAGAATCAATGGAGAATCTTTCTGAAAGAGTCTCATCTGAATTCCAAGAACCAAGTTGGGTTCTGGGAGATGAAGTAGAACTCTTGTTTCCAATGATAGTTAACTCGGTTACATGACCCTTAGAGCACACAATCTTGAGAAAAGGTGAAGGAGGGAGGTAGCAGAAGTTGGTCCATCCTTGAAGAACTTGAGGGTATTCAAGAAGCTTCTGAACTTGGAGAAGGATTCTATTCTCACTTGTTGTTAACTGTGCACTGGGAACTGGAGTAAGCAACACAAGAATGATTGCAGGAAACAAGAAACATAAAGAAACCAATAAGTTCTTCATGTTCTCAGGCTGAAACTCCTGTGTAGTAAAACAAAGAATGGTGAGTCTCAAAAGGCACACTTTATATTGCAGAATTTAAACTAAAGAATCAAAATATTGTTATATTTGATCTATTATTATTATTCGTTTGTTTGTTTTTAGAATAGCAAGGGAAATATGAGGATGAAAAGTTTCAATAATGTGGAGCAGGTAGAAACTTAGTGAAGAGAATCTGGGATTCTGAAAATGAGTGAGATTATATGATTACACATGATATACTAACTTGATTCTGTGAAGCCACCAAAATAGTAAATGGGAACGTATGAATATAATCCTGATCAGGTGCTACGCGGACTATTGTATTAAATGACAACCGGGTTTTCTGTGCTGCCACGTTTCCCAAGAAAATACTCATTTTCCATTGGGCCAAATTCAACTGTTCAACGTTGTTCTGAAATCAAAGTTGCATGGTGCAGAAATTTAGGTGTTGACAAGTTATTGTGAACCAGCCTGTATAATATTAACTAATTATTTCGAAAACAAGAAATGATTCATGTAAAGCCACGGGTATCACATGGTTATGCTCCATAACAACGGGAAACCGAAGGTACTCTGAATTTGAATAAAAATAAAAAAGGATAAATTTAAATCAAATTTCTTATAAAGATATATTGATATTTTAGATAAAATTTCAATATATTATTAAAAAAGGACAATTTAAATTATGGAAAATATTGGTTAGGCTAAAGGTTACGTACGTTGACTTTTACTCTGGTTAGGAGATACGTTAACAAAATGATATTTACTTCCCTTACTTTATATATGATTCTTATAAGTCCATACCCATTATTTTTAGAAAATTATAAATATCTCTCTTATTCTTTATATATATACATAATTTTCTTACAAAATAACAAAGTAATAGAGGTATAAGGAAGGTAAATATAACTTTCAAATCAAGAAAAGTGTAAGTATAATTAATATTAACCTTACGTGTAATTATCTTGAAGATCAAATTACATTGATGAGATAATATGCTGTAGTTCAAGATAAATGCTAACAAGTGTTCTAAGAATAGCTAAAAAATTATTAAAAGATATCATTGATAAATCATTTTTCAGGAGTTTTAATGCATTTAATGTAATTTTTAATATAAAAAAATTACTCTTGATCTTTTAATTACTACCTTTAAGAAAACCAATTAGCAAAATTCAGTTTGATATGTTAGAGTAGGGTAGTTAATATTTGAAAAAGGGATAATATTAATTAAAAATTTGATAGAAAATAATTTTAGAGTATAAACTACTAATATTTTGAAAAAAAAAATTTACATAAAAAATTGAAAGTAGTTATTTTGAGATAATAAATATCTACAATTTCGAAAAAAAAATATGAAATGAACACTTTAAACAAAATTAAAAATGAAACTTTTAAGAAATATTTATGAAAAATATAAAAATAATTTAGCTTGAACTAAAATTAAGTACTTCATTTATTATATAAAGATAAATAATTGATAAATTGTATGCTTTTTAAAAAGTAGTGATGACTAAGCTCGGGTCTTAAATGTCTTTTGCAAGTAAATGTAAATCCATTTTTTTTTTATATCCCTCTTCATTTCAGGGTATAATTTATGCTTCTTGATTTGGGTATTTCAAAAGAACATGGATTTTTTTAATCTTCAACATTAGTGAATTATTAATTAGTTGAAATGTAACTTAACTGTACGATAATGACGATTGTAAATCACTGTATTTATTTATTTTTAATATAATTCACGGTTTAATTTTTGTAATGGTACTTCTGGTTTAACATAAAATACACAATTTTATTAATATTTAATCGTATCTAAATGAGACCTGCTTTTTTCTAATGTTATTAATCTCATGAATTAGTAGTGACTATTATTCCTTTTTCTTTCTTTCTTGTTATTATTATTACATAAATGAATTAGTGACTTCAATACAATAAAGGAATTTTATTATTATTATACTTTCATTTATCTCATAAATTGATTATTATCGTTCATTAAATATTATAAAATTAGATATTTTAATCTCTTTTAATATATTTTGTTTTAACTGACATCGTCCAATTAGATACATAGAATAACATTAGAGGAACTTGATAATCATGATTCCCAATATCTATATACGAAGTATTTAAATTCATACAATAAATTTAAACAATAACATATGGATGAATATCTTTTTCATTCAGCACTGTGAAGTGAAAAAGCATTCCATCGATAAAATTATCACATTGAATTGCTCCACTTCACCCTATTCTATATGTATAAAAGAATAAAACTTAACTGCATTACTATTGATATATTTTAATCAAGAGTAAAATTGTATTCCGATAATATATGTTAATATTTAATGGATGAATGTTAATTTTTATTATACAGTAAAAAATGAAAAATTTAATTGAAGAATAATATTAATAAGAATTTTGATAATCTCGACTTTTAGAACTGAAAATAAACTGTTAATAATAGTAAAAATGTATTAAAACGAGAAATATTTATTATATTTTTATAATTTTAATATAATAACTATGTAATTTTTTTATAAAAAAATTTTATTTGTAAAAATTTAAAATCAATTTTAAGACTGAGGTTAACAAAATTTTATTAATAATAGCTGTAACTATCTATGACAGTGCAACTTATATTTTGTTAATACAAAAAATTACCCCTAACCTTGAGTTTTGGAATTTAGTGATTATGAGTTAGTGTCGGCAAGATGTAACTCTAAAGTAAGGGCACTGAGAATTGAGAGTTAAAAGGGCCAGGTTGCTACTTGCCCCACACATTATTGGCATGACACATTCTTTAATGTGCTCTAAATTAGTTACACCTAATCCTTTTCTTCTTCAGCATCCCAGCAAAAGAAACTAAAGCTGACATTTTGACATATGAGTTCTCCAAAGTGCCATAAAGATTGAAGTTCAGTGTGGCAATTAGTGTCCTTTATGTCATTATGGGCATGCAATTTTGTCTACTTTCTATGACCTCCATCTCACTTTCTATTTGTCCACAACAATGCCCATCCACTTAACTTCCACACAAACACTCATCAAATAGTATCCTTCAATAAAAAAAGAAGTTGAAGTTTCCTCAAATTTCAATTACTCAATCATACCAACTACCACTGTTACAACCGATCTCGTTACAGTATATTTATGCAACATCAAATGAAAATCAAATTTCTATTGTTATGAAAATTGAGTAATGTTATATTTTGAACTATTAAAAATTAACATTGTACATGATATTGTATACATTTTTTTATTGTTTTCAATTACTTCGTATATATTATATGTATGTGTAAAACTTTCATATGTTCATAGGACAGTATTGATAAATACATTTCATTGTAACAAGAGTTGTCATTGTGTTGGTTAGTTGGTATCGAGGTAATGTAGTGTTATGAGTTACATGTTGAATAAAATAAGAACCTCCATATAGTATTTAAGTCTCGAATTTTTCTTTTGTAATAGACTAGTATTTTGAATGGTGTTCTTCTCATGTACTTGAGCAATAAAAATTGGCATTTCTATTGAGAATTGGGCTGAAAAAAAGACCAATAAACTGAATTAATTAAGCTGTAATGTATTAGGCTTCAATAGGCAAGTGAAACTATCAATATAAGGATAACAATGTTATGAATGTTTGAATAATAATTTAATCAAGTACTTATTTGATAAATTCTTTTGCTAATAGATATATACCATAAATTTGATTATAAAAATTTATTGATATAGATTGAAAAGAACTCATTTTAACAAGTTATAGGAAGAGAATTATTAAAATAACTGATTTATTTTTGTAAGACTTGTAAGTTGTTTTTATAAACTCTTTTAAATGTCTCTTAAACAGAATAAGTTGAATAAAATCTTTAACTTGTACAACTGTCTTACTTAATGAATTCATCTTTTAGATTGAATTCTTCTCATGTGCCAGTCATAACATGTAATTTTTCTTGTAAACATTAGTGATAATATAATATTATAAGGAGTTGAAATTGTTTTAAAAAAATAGTCTAAGGAAATGAATTTGTCACATTTCAAGGTTTGGCCTACCACAAGCAAAAACTTAAAAGACCATACCCTTCCTTAGAAATGAATCTCTTATGGGAAAAGAAAATCAAAATCACATTTTGTTGTATTGGATTACGTCCTTCGTGTAGTTATTGATAATGCCTTCATGATCGAGATTCTCCTGTTTTTCCTTCGGAAATTCCAGTTGGGCTTCAATAATGCAGATCACTTTTTCATGGATTTGTTGGGTCTTGGGCCTACATTAGAAATACATTTGGGCATATCTTGGGCCTACACTGGAAAATCTGTTTAGGCCTTTAAGTCTCTTTGCCAAAAAAACAAAGAAACTTGCTCTCTCGTATCTAACATTCATGCATAATTGATATCATGGCGAAAAAAATTGCTAGATGCGAAAAAAAGTATCATAAAGTATGCATAGTGTATGAGATACTTTATAATTATTATAAAACTTGTTTCTACAACTAAAAGTGATTAATCATAGTAAAATTGGACTGTAACCTACTACGCATACTTCACTTATAATGTTAGACATTTCAATTTTAGAGTCATCGTTTTTTTTCTTTTTAAAGACGCAAGGTTAATTTTACAAATGTTTAGGACTGTAACCTATACATTTTTTTGCTTGTAATGTTCATTTGGTGTGTGAATCGATTAAGAAAAAAAACTGGTTTTGAAATTCACTAAACATATATTTTTATTTCTTCATTCTTATTGTTCCAGAAAGTTCGAAGAATATAGCAACACTAACTAAAATTAGAAAGACGTGAAAATTGTTAAATTTTGAAGCAAATTCATGAAAGTAATTTACGAATCTAATTTTGATCAATCATATTCTGTTTAAATAATCAATTTTGTTAATTTCAAGACTGAATTTAAATATTTAAATATAATACATTTTTATTAACAACTAAGATATTTATTATATTGAAAAATAAAGAATACAAAAAATTATTTATTTTTAATAAAATTTTATTATAATTAGATGTTAGTATTTTTAAAAAAAATATTTGTTAACGATAAACTAGCTTTTGCTGGTGAACAGTCCGGGAAACATGTTTGGTGTAGTAAAACAACACTCAGAAAATTAATTTAATAATAGAGTTCGGTGCGAAGGCAAAAATAGAAAACCCAGCAATATTAAATAAAAGAGTTTTGTCATTAAGTATCTTACATACAATTTAAAATTTTTAAAAATAGAACACAAACAAACCAACCAAAGTTGTCAAAACATTTTTCCATTGTTCTTTTAAAATGGATCCAAATAATAAAAAGACATTACGAAACATAACAGTAAGACAGAAGTCACATGTCACAGGCACACTTATTATATCTTTTTTGGATAAATTTTAGGATGAAACAAATTCACCCCCGAAAAAAAGGCATTATCTTATCATTATCAATTAGTAATTTATTTATTTATAGAAAAATACGAGGTGTATTTTGTTCAAAGTAGAAAACCTCGTAAGAGGAATATATGAGGTCGCTTTTACAGTCTCGGCGATACTTTTCTCTTCCTTTCATATGCTACTGTCCCTCACTGCAACCAAAAACGGAAACTTTGATCCAAACATCACCTTCCCTTTATAGAACTTTTCAAATCTCTTCTTATTTCTCACCCTTTACTCTACTCAGATCTCAATCTTCATTTCTTCACTCATTGGAGATTTAGGGTTCCTGCTCCTGCTTGTTCTATTTCTGGGTTTGATCCTCTTTCCCTTACTTTCCTCTGTTGTTGCTCTGAATCTTTTGTACTGCAGCCTCTCTCAAAAACCCTTTTTTGAATACTCAAAAAATAATTATTATTATTATCATTATTTTTGGGTTGGGTTTTGCTGATTTTAATGCTGTTTTAAAGGAAAGAGTGAAGTTGACTCTTGGTTGGTGGTGTGTGGAATTAATTACAATTCTAAGGGTTCCTTTTCAGTTTCAGCTTGTTTTGACTTCTAGGTGTAGTTCTTGTCCGTTTTGGAAAATAGACAGTGGGGATGGTTTTTGGATTTTCAATTACTTTATGGTATTTTTCTATGCATAACTGTCAACTCATGTTTCCATTGTTAATTATACTTGAGATGCATATATGTTGGGCTATTAATGTTTTTTTTTTTTTTAAAGTAAAATTAAACCTTATGTTTTGTGAATTTAATTTAGTTCAATACAGCATTAAATTGACACGGAATTGAGGGTCAGTTGTATATACTTGTTGCAGATTTTGATGCTTGAGTTCTGTGTTTTCTAAAGCATTGACATGGGGAAAGGAAGAAGTCCTGGGAAATGGTTCAGGAACTTGCTCTTGGGGAAGAAATCATCCTCAAAGTCTACTTCATCGAAGAAGAATGATATTTTTGTAAGTATTTTGGTGCTTGATAATCCATTTGTGTTTATGATCTATTATAGTCATTATCTATGTTATAGAAGAAACAATGGAAGGCAGAAAATCTCACTATTTTAACATGCATGTTGTAATTGTTATTTCAATCTGTGTATAAAGAAAACTCCAAGTGACAAGGATGTGCTGGTGTCTTCTGGGGTTTCCGTTTCTGTTCCAACTGTGGATTCTTTGCTGATATCCCCACCAATATCTGGAGCTAATGATACTAAAGGAGTGCTTTCAGAAAAGGAGGTAGTTAGTATTTCATCACATGATGATAGGGATGTTGTGTCAACGGGAGATGCAGAGGCAGTGCAAGCTGTTGCTTATTTTGGATCTCAAGAGGATCTTGAAAAACTCCAGCTTACAGAAGCAGCTATAAAATTTCAGGCTGCTTGTAGAGGCTATCAGGTAATCACTCCCTTATAATTATACAATTCTGTTACACTAACTGATATGTGGAAGTTATAATTATCGGAAGACATCATGAGAATTCCATATATGAATGAATTATAAATGTTTATAGACACAAATTCAACTACACTTATTTCACTTTTAATAATTCAAATTTTCAGTTTTAGAGAAAAAGAAAATCATAGGTAATTCATTTGTTGTTAACTAGTTATTTCTTGTCTGTCCTGCATTTTATAAATGCATTCTTATTTGAAATTCTCTCATGTTATGATATATTTGATCAAGAGTTGTTGTGTCCATTGATTCTTAATTTGTAAGTTATCACATGCAAGATTTCTAAACATTGATTCTTCCTTGGGAAGTTTCTTTAATATGATTAATGATTGCATAAAGTGATTCCTGTGTAACTTGATTGAAGGCCCGTCAGACATTTCAAACACTCAAGGGTGTCGTTCAACTGCAAGCTCTTGTTCGTGGCCATTTGGTTAGAAGACAAGCTGTTTCTGCTTTATACTGTGTGAAGGGAATAGTTAAATTTCAAGCATTGGCTCGTGGTTACAATGTTAGACGTTCTGATATTGGGCTTGCAGTCCAGAAGATTCATAAGGTAAAAGTTCTTTAACTAATTCATCAATTCAGGGATCTGTGCATTATTCTCTAACTTTCTGGTAGGATTTTTTTCCGTAAATCAGTATCAAAAGGTGTTTTCTACCATCCAGTTGGCATGCTGTAGTGATTAATAGAATTTATTCCATAGGGTGGATGAAAAGGTGAATGTCATCGGGTGCATTCTGCCTGCCCTTCTATGGCTTCACTAACTCCGTCAACATGTATTTTTGTCAGGATACTCAATGTTCAAATTCTATAGGGGTAGTTTCATCCTCAAAAGCAGAGAAGCTGTCAGAAAGTGTCTTTGTTCAAAAGGTAAGAACCTGATAATATAATACCTATATTGTGGATTAATAGATTCTTTGAGGTACTTATAATATCTGAAGTATGATTTATTTAAGTTAATTAAAACTACTAGCTATTATTATCAGCTAATAATTTTACTGTGCTTGAAGGTTTCTCCCCCTGATTATGTGTGAGCTTGTTGCTTTTCACTTGCTCCTAATGTAGAGCTATTTTTTAGGGTACCGGTAGTAGCACTTATTGCCTTAAAAGAGGATAAATTCGTCTCAACTTTTGGACTCCTTAATTCTTCTCTAGTTCTATGTCCTACGAGATTTAAGTCTTCAACTTTTTTGGCTATATTTCTAGGTTCATAATTGTTTTTTATACCGCTTATATTCACTGTATGATTAAACTGAAGTTTCAATCCTGTAATATCTGATTTTTTAACTCTGCCTTTGCCATGCATTGTGGAGAATGGCATTAATGTTCACTGATAGTTCCAGTAATTATTAATGTTGAGTAACAACACTGACAGGTTATTTTTGGCCAATGAACCGGTTAACCTAAGTTGATCTTGGCAATTTTTTGGTCAACTAATATGATTTCTGAATATGAATGGTATAACAAGATTGTGAACAGATGGTGTACTTTTCTCTTTTAATTCTTATTGTTTTGAAACTAAGTTATCTCATAAATTATTTTGGTTTTGATTAAAACTCATTACATATGTTATCCATTTCAGCTTCTGGCTTCATCCCCGTATGCAGTTCCTCTATCTCTCAATGGTGATCCTGGAGAACCTAGCTTGGCTTCAAAGTGGCTTGACCGTTGGACAAGGTCACACTTTTGGGCTCCTCTTCCTGAGTTAAAGAAGAAACTTGACCCTGTTTCTGATGAGAAAAATGACAGTTCTCAGACAGTTGAAAGGGGACAAGTTAAAAGAAATACCCGGAAATCTCCTGCTGTCAAGGTTGGTGATGGCTCAAATTCTGGTTCTAACAAATATAAACAGCGTCCAAAAAAGGATTCAAGTCACCCATTGCCTTCAGTTCAGGAACACCCACAAAAAGAAACTGAGAACAGTAGTTCTAAACAAACTCGTGCACATAATGTTTCAGATGGATCTGAGGTTGTTAATGAAAAAAGAAAACATAGCAGTAGAAAATTTTCAGATCATACTGCCACTGATGTTTCAGAGCAGGGCACAGCTGCCTTGTTAGAGAAAACGAAGGATTTGAAATTGGAGAAAATAAAGGATTTGAAAGTGCCAAAGTCGAAAGAGTCCAATCGTGAGAAAGGTCTTGGACAGCAAGCAAAAGATGAGAATGATAATCTGACACTTAATGATCCTATTGCTGTCTTAGATACTAGTGTGAAGAAGGGTGGAGATCAAAGGATTCAAGGAATCAATGAGGATTTGAGTGGCGGTGACCACTGTATCAGTAACAACTGCCAAAGAAGAGCTTCACTACCTGGCAATTTTAATGATCAAGATAATGAGTTAAATAGTACTCCAAGAGTGCCTAGTTACATGGCACCTACTGAATCTGCAAAAGCTAAGCTAAGAGGACAAGGCTCCCCAAGATTTGCTACTGATTTGGTAGACAAAAACAGTATAACCAGGCGCCATTCACTTTCATCTTCACTTAATGGCAGGTCAGGTTCATTTTCCCCGAGAGCTGAAAGACTGGTAGCCATGAGCGGTAGAGGAGTGATGAGGTCTGATAGATCTCTGTCATCTTCAAGGGATGGGACTGGTAAGCATTAAAGATTTTGCACTTTTTTCCCGATTAATTCTTTAACTTTAATTCTTACAATAAAGATATTAATTATGGAATTTATCACATGGTCTAAGCATGCTTGAATTTTTCAATTTCCTTGGCAACCAACAAGGTCAATTTTATGAGTGGCAAAATCATAAAAATATCAGAACAGGGAAAATGCTCAATTGAATCAAAAGAAACTTAGATTAAATGAATAGCAATCTGAGCGCATCACCATTCAATCCAAGCTGCATTTTCATCCTAGCAAAGAAGGAAATTCACTACTCATACATCTTATAGTGTTGAAAACAAACCAATTTAATAGATGAAAGAAACATCAAGAATCAATCTTGAGAAGTTACTCTGGATGTCTCCTATATCTTTAACTTTCCTCTTCTCTTGGCTACTCCTATTTTCTGCCCCATTTATTATCTTAGAGAAACCAAAACCTTTATGTCATTTGTCAACTTGTGGCAGAGTTTCACAATGAAAAATAGCTGAGATAGGGATACTTGTCAACAGATGATTTGTAGATATTCGTCTTTATCTTTCAAATACTTAAGAATAAGGTCAATCACATTTTTCTGGGGAAATCTATTCTTGATTTACTAAAATAGATATGACATGACTATGAGAGCAAACACTTTCCTTCAATCACCATCCACCAGTTAAAGATCTCGGTTGATGCCTAAAATTTTGGGATACAGATTTGATTTATCAAATTTGTCAGCCACCTTGCACATAACTTTCACCCTCCTAAAGCCTGAACTAGACTCTGTTCACATATATTTGTACCAGTTTTTCTTAACTTTCTGTGTACACTAAAATCAGCTCATGCTAGGGTTTTTATCAAAAGTTACTATCAAAATAGCGTGGTTAAGGTCTAGATGCCTCTTTACTAGAATTTTGGTAATTTGGTTCACATCTTCATAAACATCCTTAAATTTCTAGAAAACTCACCAAAAACACATTTAATTTGATAGGCATGGACAATTCATTTAAAATATGTTATAAGTGACATGATAGTTATTAAAAAAGCACTTTCATGTGTGTTTAAAAACACGTTAAAAAATATGTAAACGTAGTTCCAACACCAGAAGCTACAATTGATAGTGTTGAAGTACAGATCCATGATCATTTTATGTGAAACTAAACACACTGTTAAATCAAGTAGAAGATACGTGGAGTTTCACACATTAAATATTAGTGTACTCTCTTTGTTATTTAGGCCCGTTCTATTTCCCTTAATCACTGTTCTATGGATATTACCAATTTCAGAAAAGTTGATCCAACCTCAATGGAGAAGGTGATTCTACGTAATTTTTCAGGACAAGGGTACTTCAAGGAGGTATAAACTTAAATAGTAAAAAATATGCTGACCTACATTACGGCCTTTCTTCACTTTTCATTTTCATTATATTTGTGGTCGTGGATACAAAAAAGGATACATATTGTGATCAGAGTCTGGTATGAAATTTCTTTCAATAGGAGTACTTTGGTGGGTATATATTTAATTTAGCGTCTGTGATGTATTAATCAAAACATTGGTTCAAACATTGTCATATATTTTTAAATTTGAGAAAGCTTTTCAGATCTTATATGAGCAATCTAAAGAATTTATAGTGACGTTGCATTAAAAAAGTGATTGTAATGTAAACTTTCTTTTAGAGTTTTTTTCTTTCCAGAAATTATTTTTTTTAACCTATGACATTTCTTTTAAAAGTTTTTCCATCTTTCTTGAAAAAACTTACATAATGATTTTTATTTTTTAAAAACATCTGTTAATCAAAAGCACTTCCATTTGAAAATCTCAAACAAACGTGTTTTTTAAATTTGTCTATGCAAGTGACATCCATTGAAAAAATTGGTGATTAAAACGAAGCTTTGCATAGCTTGGGTCTTAATCCTAATCACAAATCTGCTTGTTATCGTAAATGATCGTAGTACGCTCCCAATCCATTAAGAACAGCTTTAAAGGTGCAATTATCATGAGTTGCCTAAGTTAATTGTTTCAAATATTTTTATGGGTCTCGCGAAACACAATTTCCCCCTTTTTCTTTTCAAATGGTGCAACTGTAAAAAGTTCACTAAATAGGTTTCATGAATTACCTCGCATCTTTAATTTTCATTACTATTTATTTTAATTCAATTGTAAAATTTAAACTTATCTTTATTTTAATTTTGAAATAATAAAAGTATACAGAGAATAAATGTTATAAATGTAATAATATTTATTTCTATATCCCATATACTTAATTGATAGAAAGGCCACGTTTTTACTAAGGCCACTTGACTGATTTTGGGACTTGTTTAAACCGACCATATAATTCAAATGTAAAGTTCAAATTTATCTTTATTTTAATTTTGAAATAATAAAGGCATGCAGAAAATAAATGTTAGAAACTTATTTGGTTGAATTCGAATGCAGAAAAGAGAGAAATATATATAAAGTAAAGACGTAGTGAATAATTTAATAAAAAAAAATATAAATACATATAAGATATAAAAGAGTAGGCAGTTACTGTTGTTATTTCAACGCCAGCAAACCAATGTTCTATTTAACTTTTTACCACTTATGCAATGACTCAATAGAGACAAAAGAAAATGTAACCAAGAATAGATGTGCAAAGCTTTTATTCAATAAAAACACGTGCAAAAGGAAATAATAATAATAATAATGAAGATGATGATATCATTATCATAATCATAATGGTGATGATGATGGTGTAAAATGAAATATATTTCATGCACTTAAGAAATTACATTAACTGTAAACTGAACTTCAAAAAACAATCATAATATCATATTAGGATTCATTTTATATCAAGAGTATCATTCAGTTAACAGTTTTTTTTTTCTTCCATAATTTATTTTATAACTAAAAGAGATAAGCAAATAATAGAAAGAAGTATGAGATCAGATAAAATGATGCAATGGAGTGAGATAAAAAAAAATTGTTGCAAAGAATGCACATGAGACCAACACAGCTTGTATGTAAACAACATCAAGTGGTTCCCAGAGCTCCCCCAAACACTTCAATAGGCCTCAGTGTTGATGAAATGAGGGGTTGCTAATGAAGTGGTCAGGGGAATTCCAGGGTACACCTGACCCTTCCTTAGATGCTGTAAATCCTTGCAAGCCAATACTTGTTTATAGTGATTTTAATTCGTCGCTTCACCTTCTATTTGTAGTCACAATGGCCTTCGGGTTGGGGAACAGTCACTCATTGAGCAAAATTCAAGTATAATTCATAAAATAATTTTTTTTAAAAATGTCAATGTGAATCTAGTCCAATTTTGATCTCAAGGGAGAGTAATAGAGTATATTTTAGTGATTGCATTTCTTTTTCAATTTTTGACATAATTCACTGATATATGCACACATTGCTTTAGCTCATCCCTTGTAGAAGATGCCCAAGAAAAAGTGTGGTCCAAGTTTATGTTGCATTTGCCCTTGCTCATGGGTTGGGGGGCGATTTTCATAGCAATATACCATATTCTTTAAAAAAAGAAAAGGGGAGGGGTTATTCTTTTGTCTGAATTCTGAAAAGGAAGCAGAAAATGATGGGGAGGGAAAAGAAAATGAAAATCTGTGTTGCAATTATTTTTGGTAGAAATCAAGAGTTTGGTTTCATAACTCTCTATGAAGCAATATATTTGTTTATGGCGCGGTGAATGGTTTCTATATGTGGCCATATCTATAAGAAATCGCAATAGCTTTGACCAAGTTGAAGTGGAACATAAGAATTCCGACAATGACCAAGAATGTTATACACTGATTGACCCAATCTCTTGTTTTATATAAATGAGGATAATAAAATTACAGAAAATATTCCCATAGTATTTTAGGATTACATCTTGAAAAATAATAGTCTAATTAATCTGAAATGCTATTGTTTTGAGTAATTATTTCCCTTCGTCATATCTCAGTTATTAATTATTATTATTATTAATTTCTTTCATTTCATCCTCTCTAAACATTATACTAAATCATTTAAGCAATTATAGGTGGCTTGGGACAATATAGGAGAAGTGGTATAAAATTATTTACGTGTCTTCAACCCAAAGCTTAAATTGTCAAGTGAGGACATGTGAATAGTGTTTTATTACATCCCTTCCAAAAAGGACTCAAATCATCTCTGGTAGAAGTTTCTCTTGGTCGAATTTTGGTACATATATTTATTAATGTTTTTTTTTATATTTTTGGAAAGTGTTATCTAAATTAGACATTTAATATTGTATCATAAGGACTTTAGTTTGGTGAGACTCAAGTTTTTGAAATTGACAATATGTTGGATTAGGAGGAGGAGACAAGCACGGAAGGGAGAAAATTATTATTATTATTATTATTATTATTATTATTATTATTATATAAGAGGAGGAAAAAAATAGGTCAGGTTCATTAGAAAGATTCCTCTAACAGGAGAAGTGAGAGAGAACGGAGATAGATTTTTTTAAAAGAATTTTTGGCTTTTTGTCTAAAAATGTTATTATTAATTGTAAAAAAATTAGTTAGAATAAATTTTTTCTTATCAGTAAACAGTACTATCCTTAAGAGTGGTGATATTTATTTAAAAAATAATAATAAAACCATTTATTACAGAGACGTTACATACTGTATATCTCATTCGTGTTAATAACAATCTTATGAGAGTTATCCTCTCTCATACCAAAGAGTATACTTTTGAATTATAACAAAATGTTTAATTTTTTTATTCTAAAAGTATAAAATATACTTTTTATTTATCTGAATAAATAGAAAGAAAAGTATTTTTTTCTTAATTTTTTATCTAAATAACATTTTTTTATTTATTTATCACTTTTTTTCTTTCCTTCCTCTTATATTACTCGTTCAAACAAAGTGTTGATAATTTATTTAATTTTATTAAAGGTTATTTAGTTAACTTGAACCTTTAATCATTAAAATGTTTAACTAATGTTTACGAGGACTAATTTGTAATTTATCTGAGTAAAAAGGATAATTTTTAAAATTAATTTTATAGCTTTAAATAATTTTTAATCTTAGTAATCATGTGTTATTGTATTATTTAAATTTATTTTTTAATTATCATAAAAATATATGTATGCATATATTTAGCGTTTTTAGATTAAGATTTTTCTTATTTATATTATGTAATATGTATGACGACAATTATAATATTAAAAAATTTACTTGAAGCAAATTTATGAAGGATGATATTTGTGGGACAAATAAGAGAGGTGATTTTTATTGAATAACTTAGAAATGTTAGATTAATTTTTAATATATTTTTAGTCATAATTATTTTTTTAAAATTATAAAAGTAGGTGTGAATTATTAAATTAAAAGTAATATTTTTTTATAAATTTTAACTAATAATAAAAAAATTATGAAAAAATATGTTGCTAAAATAAAACATGTTTAAGAGAGCTTAAATTAATTGAGTGCACTAATCGAATCGGCATTTATATCACTGAAATTATAAAATAAATGTTTCATTTACAAATGTATTGCTAATGTGATAATGTTTAATCAATTTAATACACTCAAATTAAATCAAGTATATTAATTAATTTTAAGCAAGAATTTTTAATGTAATACCTTGAGATGTGAACATTTTCATATGTCAATCATGTTTTAAGTTAACGTGAGTAATTTAAATATTTAATGCCACCTTTGAGTAAATTTTTACGCTTTAAAGTCTCATGAAAATGAGAAAATTTAAATTTCAAGAGGTCTTAGTTCTGGTAGGAGAAGAAGCTGAAAACAAAAAACCTTACAGATATTATCCTCATATATAGCACACCCTCAAACTTACATTTATAAGACAATGTCGGTTGGCACCCAGAGTTCCCCCAAACACTTCAGTGTTGCTTTGGGAATTTGAGGGCTCTGAAGCAGCAAGCAAACACAATGAAGTGATCAGAGGAACTCTAGGGGATACCTGACTTTTGATTTCACCTTTTTTATTTGCTAGCTTTTTGAGTTTGATTCACAGCAAGGCCTTAGAAACCAGTCCTACCATTTATAGGAAGAAAATTGAAAATGATAGCTCATTCATGTCTCATGCTGGTACCACATGAAACAAATTAAAATAACGATGTTGATATGGTTATAGTTGAACCTGGTCTGTGTTTATGGTCAGATGAAGGGTGGAGAATAATTTAATGTGAGGTTGCGGGCCGAAAGCTTCCTCCTCCTCTCTCATCAAATATTCTGTAATCTTCACGTAGTATTATCAAATTGAATCTAATTCATTTTTTAAAAATAGTTCAAAAAAATTATTCAAGTCTTAGAAAAATGTTTTAACACACTTTCTTGAACACATGTAAATGAATAAATATTAAGATTGGATATGCTCTAATACAATATTAAAAAATTAAGTTTAACCCACTCTTAAGGATTAATTTAAGGGAAAAAAACATTCAAATCTTATAAAAATTATCTTTAGTATAATACCATAAAAAGTTAAACCTAGTTCACTACAAAAACTAACTGAAAAGAAAAAAATTATAAATATTATCTTGACCATATTGCTGGGTAACTAGGAATATCTTAACACACGGTATTAACAAAGTTTAGAAGGTTATTGTTTGATGCTAATTGCACTGATTTTGAAATTGGATTCACATAGTAAATAGAGTCTTCAAAA